TATTACTGATACATGCTCATTGGTCTTATTACTGATACATGCTCATTGGTTATATTATTGATACATGTTCATTCTTTATATTACTGATACATGCTCATTGGTTATATTACTGATACATGCTCATTGGTTATATTATTGATACATGCTCATTAAGATGTTTTCAGAAACCAGCAAAGCAGTAACATAAGCAATACCCACATAGAGTAAACCTCAGGGACATGAAACACCAGTGTTTATTTCTTCTTGGTCCTATTTCTCCCAAGGGGGAGGGTTATCTTCTAGTACTAACACCTTTCTATGTGCACATACTTGTACATCCCGTTGTGTTTTTCTTGAATTGATGACTACTTCTCTACTTAAAGTAGAGATTCCTTCTAAAGTATTATAAACATTACTCAATTCATCCTATAGATATTTGATGCTTTTTTGCTGGGTTTTGTTTTGTTTCAAGATGGGATCTCAGTGTGTAGCTCCAGCTGTCTGAGCTCACCGTGTAGATCAGGCTGGCCTCTGCCTCCCTTTACAGACATGTGCACGATACTCAGCTTACTTGTTTATTTTAAACTTTTTTTTTCTTTTATTCTTCTATCAAACATACATCCTGACCACAGTGTCCCCTCCCTCCACTCCTCCAGTTCCTCCCCCACCTCCCTTCTCCCTCAGATCCACCTTTTCCTGAGAAAGACAGAGGCATGGGGGAGAGGGAGGCAGAGGGGGAGAGAGAGGGGGAGGGGGAGAGTTGGGAGAAGCAGAGAGCAGGCTCCCCAGGGATATCCCATAAACATGGCCTAACAAGTTACAATAACACTAGGCACAAATCCTCATACCAAGAGCAAGGCAACCCAGTAGAAGGAAAAGGATCCCAAGTGCAGGCAAAAGAGTCAGAGACACCCCCCCACTCCCACGGTTGGGAGTCCCACAAGGACACCAAGCTACACAACCATAAGGTATATGTAGAGAACATAGCACTGACCCATGCAGGCTCCATGATGGTCACTTCAGGGTACACCATCGTTGCACATAAAAGCTGCACAGACCCAAATTCTGAGGGAGAAATAATGAAATTACCACACTTAGCTCAACAACTTTCCAGCCCCGTAAGGCGGTCCTCAGAGCCCCTAAGTAGGGCCCTGGCTCTTTTCTCCATGTGCTTCTCATTTCTCTCCACATACTCTGACCCAGTCAACACTGGAAACTCCTCTCCCTGGAGCACAGCACACTCTTCATTCTCACATCAAAGGGAAGACATTCTCCAGCCCTCACCCCAGCCCCTCCTCCTTCCCTTCACACCACTCCCTGTGAGAGATTCTTCGTTGATACCTCTCCCTGACTCAGTGGGTCCCATTGCATCTCTGAGCAACATGCCAGAAGATCCCAGACTTGGATCTCCCAGCTTTCCTTAGTCAGCTCGGTGGGCATCTTGCTCCCCGAGCTCCACAACATTCTTTTGCTATGTAAATGCTTTCAGCTTCTCAGGCCAAGGAACAAGGCAATAGCAAGGAGGAAGCAAACTGAGTTGACTTTGAATGTCCCTGACAGCAACTTCTGTGTAAAAGTCTAGACTTAAGGGTCCACAAACTGTTACTTAGCCATCACCTGACATTTCTTCCTGCCTTCCTGTCTCCTCCTACCTTTCTCTGAATTCCACCCTGACAGGCTAAAACCAAAACACTACACTGTTTAAGTACTATTCTGCGTGGGGCAGGGAGGGGAAACCCCTAGAACTAATTCCAACCCTTACACCTAAAACCCAGGCTATTTTCAAGTAGTTTTTACAGATTCCTATGACTGGTTTTCAATTGCTTTCGTCTTGTACAAGATCTGTGTGGGTGTTTTGTTTTCATTTTGCAGGTGAAATTTGTCTCAGAGTACTAAGTATTTTTAAGTCAGTTTTAAACTTTTAAAAATACTGGTGTAAACGTTCAAGTGTGACTGCCGTTAGCTATTTTAACCATAGGCATTATGCATTTTGCAAAAACAATTATATTCTCATCTTTTGTAACAACTAAGGCTGAACCCACACTGAACACTGGGCATGTGCAGACAGTGGGCTTGGCAGTCTTCTGGTACAACCCAGCAATAATGTGGGTTCCTATTATTCCACTCACAGAAGACAAAGGAAAAGCAAGTAGCCTGTCCAAGGCCATCCCCACAGCCTCGCTCTGGAGCAGAGACCACCAGCCTTGCATCCGCCATCTCTCAACACCTCACTTGTCTACTGTAAGGAGGGCTTCAATCTTAACCTTTATGATAATGGTGAGACAGCCATCTTCACTTCTGAGATAAGAAAACTGAGGAAGAAGGCTGGAGAGAGGCTTTGCCATTTAGTTCATTTGCTGCTCTTGCAGAGGACCCAGGTTTGAGTCCCAGAACCCACAGGTAGCTCACAAGCATCTATAACGCCAGGTCCAAGGACTCTTACGCCCTCTTCTGGCCTCTGAAAGCTGGTGCACATACACACATGCAGGCAAAACACACGTGTGAAAGAAAATAAATAAATCTAAAAATACACCTTTGTTGTGAGTCTTTCCCAGGAAGCTACAGCATCTACCGATTACCACAACCTGCTGGATACCATGTGATTATAGCACATAACACAGCAAACCCGATGGCTGGGGCCATTGTAAGGGAATCAGGGCAAGGCAGTATGGGTACTGGGAGCCTGCTAGACTAGTGTTTCCAGCACCCTGGGAAGGACACCCATACCTGCCACACGTGGGGATTTGAGAATGGAACCCTGACTCAAAGAGCAAACCAAGGAAACCTTTACTATCTCATAGGGAGGCCTAGGCTCCCATGAGGCCATGCTACCCAAAGACACTTTAACTTCCTCCCCTCGAGCCTGATTGGAGACACCGCCACTGCCAAGAGAGGTCATGGAGAGAAACTCTGATCTCAGAAGGAAACGGCTGGGGCAGAGGCCAGTGAGGAGAACAGCCAGTGGCAGGGCTGAAGAACTGTAGGGTGCAGGCAGACACCAGGATAGATAGCAAGTCAGCAGGACATCTTGTTTATTTAGTTTTTAAATTGCGGTAAAATACACAGAGATAAAACTAATCCTTTTAAGGGTACAGAACTCTGGCACAAGTCACACCAACACTGTTACACAACCATCTCTTCCATGAGTCTCCTCAAGACCTTTCCCAGGAGAAAGGAAACCCCGTGTTCATTGAACACCAGCCCCGACCTCCCCTCATCCAGGCCACCGCAGTAAGAAACAAAACGACGGCGATTACGTTCTTGCTTCCACTTCCACTCACCTGTGCCCTGTGATTCCGACCTCTGGCAGGCTTTCTAGAGTAGCCTGGGTGTTGGCTCAACCATGATGAAAGGCAGCTAATGGGAAGACCTGGACCTCTAGGACTCCCAGCTTATCAGCGAGGCCACTGACTGCTGCAAGCAGGGACAAGGCTTTCTGGAGTCCCGCAGGTACTGGCAATTTCAGAGCCCTATGAGTTTCCATTTGATTTAATGTCTGTTTTGGTCTCACGAGACTTCTTGACGCCGTATCTGTGCTTAAAGGCCCAAATGGAAAAGCAACTGAACGTGGTAGACTGCCATCCTGGTTCCCTGCAATAAAGAGCCCCACACTTCCTAGGGAAGTCCTGAGAGCAAGAAGGGAGCCCCTAAAACTGGCAAAGGCTGACCTGTGTGCTGGAGAACCAGCCCTTCCATAGCACTGAGCCAAAGGTTCTTCCTCCCGGTTCCCAAAGCTTCGGTCGACTCCTGGTCTCCAGGCTTACAGAAAGGCCAGGTGGCTCAGAACCTGGACTGACATGCTATACAGTGACCAGCAGAGGGCGCCAACAGTCTCTTCCCCACTTTGTGCCTGTGCGCAGAAGTAACTTCTTTTGTAGTTGTTGTTGGGTTTTGTTTTGTTTATGGTTTTGGGTTTCTTGTTTTGTTTTGTTTTGTTTTGTTTTGTTTTGTTTTGTTTTGTTTTG